GCCCTGTAGCAAAAAAAACTTTTTAAAGGAAGATATAAAGAACCAAGTGGAAATTTTATCATTGAAAACTACAATAACCAAAATGAAAAGCTCAGTGGATGGCTCACCAGAAGAAAACAAGGGACAGAGGAAATAATCAGTGAAATGGAAAGTAGAAAAATAGAAATTACTCAATCTAATATTAAACTGATACCAAACCACTAGAGAATTATGCTGAGTAAAAAGCCAATTCCAAAAGGTTACACACTGAATGATTCCATTTATATAACATTTCTGATATAATAAAATTATAGATATGTAAAACAGATTAGTGGTCTCCAGTGGTGAAAGAGGGAGTGGAGGGAGTGGGAATAGGATGGAGATGGGTAGCTAAAAAAGGGTCACGGAGAGGTACCTGTAGTGAGGAACATGTTCTGTATCTTGACTGTATCACTGTCATTATCACAGTTGTGGTATTGCATTACAGTTTTGCAAGACGTCATTGATGAAAACGAGGTAAAAAGTACATGGGGTCTTTTTCTATTGTTTTTTTTTTTTGGAGAGGTTTTTGCTATAGGGCGTGTGCGCTCGCCAGAAAGATAGAGCGAGACAGAGAGACAGAAAGCGAGAAATCACCCCCCAGCGGGTTGGCCACGCCACAATCCCTTCTCCACTCTCCTCTCAGGATCTTGGGCACGCACGCACACGCACCCAGGTTTCTTTCTTTTGTTGTTGTTGTTTTTAGAAATTGTGTTTAAAAAAATATAATAATATTTACCATCGTAACCATTCTTTAAAAGTTTATTTCTCTTATACAAGAAAAGAGAGAAATACCCATGACAGGATCTCACCTAACTACAATTCCCCAGCCCCAGTCTTCCAGCCAGCCAAGATCAGGGGCATGCTCAGCATGAATAGATCAACCAGGGATCTGAACCTGGGGCTTCCCATATGGCTTCAAATATAGTACAGCAGTACCCTACAGACTGTATCACCACAACTGCAATGTCTTAATTTAGTTCTTTAATTGTAATTTATAATTTACATATAATTGTACATCTTTGTGGGTTATAGTTTTGGTTTTGTTTTTAGGTTTTGGCCATAGACTGCATGCACTTGCTGGAAAGAGACAGAGATAGAGAGAGAAGAAAAGTGAGAAGTCATCCCCTGGGGGAGGTGGACACACTACAATCTCTTCTCCTCTCAGGATTTTGGGCATGTATGCACGTACGCCTAGTGTGATTTTCAAGCTGCCAGGTCTGAGACTCAAACCACTGCCAGTTCTGTGCCTTAACCATGCCATTTGCTGGTCCCAGTATAGGTTTTTGCCATAGGGTGCTCACCAGAGAGAGACAGAAAGAGGGAATATGAGAAATCACCTCCTAGGGGGGATGGCCACGTCACAATCCCTTCTCCTCCTTGGGCACACACAAGGTTTGATTTTCAAGTCGCTAAGACTGGGACTCGAACTGCAGTTGGCTGTGTGGGAATCCAGCATCTTAAACACTAACTATGCCTATATGCTGGCCCCTCAGTATAGTTTTTTTTTTTAAAGAATATATACAGTATGTAATAATTGAATCAAAGATATAAACATATTCACCATCTCGACATTTAACATTACATTAGGTTGTGCACATACAAGATTCATTTTGTTATTTTTCGGGTAAGTATATATTGAATTGTCCAGGATCTTATTTTACTCTGCTGTGGTACACTGTTCTATAACTGATTCCACTTGTTCACAAGTACCCTTGTGTCTCTTAATCAATTTTTCCCAAGCTTCCTTTACCCTTATGAGTTTTCTAGTATCTACCACTACCTCTCCACTTCTATGGCTTTTAAATTTTTTTATTTTAATTTTGCTTTATGTATTATTAAAAAAAAATTTATAGAGCACATGTGTTCACCAGAGAGAGAGAGAGAGAGAGAGAAAGACATCAGGACCAGGACTCAAATTGCAGCCATCTATGTTGGAGTCCAGTGCCTTAACCACCTCGCCACCTGCTAGCCCAATATTGACCCTTTATCAGATATCTGATTTGCAAATATTCTGTTTTATAGGTTGCCTCTTCACTTTGTTGATCATGTCCTTTCACGCACAAATGTTTTAAAGTTTGATTTAGTACAATATGTCTATTTTTTGCTTTAATTGCCTGTACTTTTGGTGTCATCTCTGCTATTTCTTACAAATGCATATGGATCTACAATTGTCTCAAAAGAAAAGATATATAAATGGTATCAGGTGGTATTTGTCTATGTCTTTTATTTCACTTAGCATGATGTATTCCAGCATAGAACCTGTACTTAACAATACTGTATAATTAAAAAATTAACAAGAGAGTAGATCTTACATTGAATGCTCTTATCACGAAAAGTAATAATGAAAAAATAGAGTATGAGAAAACTTCTGCAGGTGATAAGTCAGGATTATGGCATGGATTG